GAACGCGGCGGAACCGCGTTCCGGCACCTTTTTCCGGGCCGGCCGCACCGGAAATAGCCCCTCCCACACCGGAAATAGCCCCTCCCAAATTTTACTTGCATTCCTGTTCTCTAAAGGGGCGGTCCTAGGGTTTGATGAGGGCGTGGCCAGGTTTGAGTTCCGCCACCTTTTCTCCGAGAAAAAAAGCCCTGTATATACAGACACAGGAATTCTTGGATCACACAACTTGAACCTTGCTGGATCATACAAGAGACCTTTTGGAACCCAAAGCTGCTCTGCAGGTTCTTCCTGTATATGATCCTAGAATTCCCCATATTCTCCAATAAATTGGAGGATGGGTGGGTTGATCTTTGACCCTTTCTCCAACAGAAGGGAAATCAGAGTGAACTTACATCATAGGTAGTTTTGGTCAACATATCTTATAATATACTAGTATAAAAGGGAAGAAAACTTCCCTTTTATACTTTCTTTTCACCACTGATATTCTTCATTTTCTTTTCACTATTAATATTATTCTATATCATATCTTGTTTGTATATTTCCCAGTTCTACAATATCTTTCTTGGATTATACTGATCAGAAACATACACACTTAAGATTATATCATAGATTTCCATGGATTTTTCATTGTTTACTTTGTGATTCATTTCATGATGATATCCGATAAGACAAAAAAAGGAAGTTAAAATATTGACAAAACATGGTTCAACAGGATTGGGTCATGAAGGAATGGATGTAGCCCTCACACTCATACATGCCTACCCTTGAATTGTATGCATTCAAAGAAAAGGGATAATCACAGCAGAGAGCAATGGTTCTAGTACAACTCATTGCAACCAACTTGTCACAGCCATCTTGCCGTGGAACAACTCGTTGTGGACAATTCCACGCGGGATAACTCGATGCAATAAATGTTAGCCACCACTGTTTCTTTGACATTATTTCCATTGACAAAAGTGGAAATAATGTCAAAGAAAAATAATGTCAAAGAAACAGTGATGGACAACATTTATTGCATTGAGTTATCCTGTGTGGAATCGTTCATGACGAGTTGTCCCAAGGCTGCAGCAAAAGGGCCGTGGCAAGTTGGACACAACAAGATGGCCACAGCAAATTGTCCCATTCTGGAGAGCAATGGTTCAGTTTAAGACCTTCTTCAACTGGCCAGCAGCAGGCTGATGAGGAAGAGAGAAAGGATACTGGGTGAGATTCTCAAACCAAGTGACCAGCCTTGCAGGCCAAATGTTCTCTAGAACTGGTGTAAAGGCTGGCAGGGCAAAAGTTTTCACTGTTGCTCGACATCTGGTTATCTGTCTTCATGAAGGGAAGCAAAGGTCAAGTCTTCTAATCAAGCTTGACTCTTGCTGATTTCCTGTCATACCCATCCAGTTTTCTTGGTAATAATATGGAAGCATGATGCCCTTACCTTCTTTCTGAACAGATTTGTTTGTTTTACTTTCCAGTCTGACCTCTAGATTACCAAGGAATCCGAAGGGAAGAATGAGGTGGGAAGAGGGGGGGCTACATGAAAAGTAGACCAGAAATCACATGTCACCATTTGCCATCTATTACCAGACATACTTTAAGTATTTACTATAGCTAATGTCAAGAGGAGGAGAAAAAGAGGAGGCAGATCTGTTTAATGGAGGGAAAGGTGGAAGATTTAAAATAATAATCGGGAATACTGTTAGCTATACTATTCATGTTCATTAATTTATTCTTGCAAACGGTCTTTAAAAAATCAAAAGTAAGTGGCATCAGAATGGATTTCAATAAAAAAGCAGCCTCCTGACTAGCTTCTCCTATATGGAAGATTCTATAGATTGGTGCTTATCTGCTACTTAGTAGTAAAGTCAAAAGAAAATATCTAATCTTCACTTCCTGTATATCCGGGATGAAGCTAGAACTTCACCTGTGCAGAGTAAGAACTGGATGATGCCAGACTTGTCCTCCGCTAAACAGATGTAATGCATCTAGTAAAACCTAGTTTCTCTCTCATTGCTGACTTGGTTTTGTTGATCCCAGGGGCCTTTCCCTTTAGCAAGTGTTAAGCTTCCCAGCTTCTGCATTAAGTAAGCTACAGATGTGTTTTATTGCTCTTAATAGTCTTTCTTCCTCTCAGTATGACCCCTGAATCTTCTTTCTTCCTGCAAAAGAAATGTTATGATTATTTGGCATTAGAAAGGGGTCTTGATCTTGGCTTTCAAAGTTCTCTCTCTCTCTCTCTCTCTCTCTCTGTGTGTGTGTGTGTGTGTGTGTGTGTGTCCCTCCTCCTCCCTTTGTAAATAAGTTCAGTGTAAAATGGGTATAGAGGCAGGCAAGTTTGAAAATTCACAAATGGGCAAAAGTGAGGATAATTGGTTCTGGCAAGCTAAATGGTTTTCCACTGCCAGGCACACTAAAAAAAAAAACACTCTCATTCTTTCCCCCCCACACACACACACACTCACACAGAGTGTATTAGATCCCTGCTTTAATTTTCTTATGCTGCTTCTCATTAACTAGGCTTTGTCTGTCTTTTTCTTTTGTAAAAGGCAGGATGTTAATTTCGACAACATTACTGCATCCAGAAGCCTCCCCTCCTTTGCTCCATTCCCTTCCTCCCCCTCTTTCTCTCTTTTTCCTTCTCCCTTGTGAACTCTGTGTTCATACAGCAGGATTATTTTGGAGGGGGGGTGGTAGAAATGAGAGATTGTTTATAAATTTGCGGAAATAGAGGAATGTAGAGGGCCCCCAGTCTGGTGACTTTTGTCCAGAGCAAGCACACGTCAGAGTTACAACTACACAGTTTTGGCAGGGAACAGGGAGATTCTAACAACTTCGCAGATATTTTGCGGTCTGGAAACATTTTACCCTTATTCTCTCCTCTGCCCCCCCCCCCCGTCCTGTTCCCTGTGCAGTAGCTCATGAGCATCTGAAAGAGAGGAGTCTCTTTGGCCTTCCCCATCCTCCACCAGGAGCCAGCCCTGCAGACTACTATCACCAGATGGCATTCATGGCCAGCCACCCGAATCCTTATGGGGACCTCCTCATGCAAAGTGGAGCAGCAGCTGGGGCCACGCATCTTCATGATTACCTCAGCCCTGTAGATGGTGAGTAAAAGAGCCTTCTCTGGCTAGATCCACGTTCAAGAATGTTCTTGCTGGACTGACCCACTTCTCGAGTGGGTGAATGACACTGTACCATTGATCATAAAAACATCCCTGTGTGCACGCACCTAGGTGTCTTAAGAAAGACAAGATTGTTGAAAGCACTGGGTTACTTGACATCCTCTTACTTCTTGCATGTGGCTGAAGGCCCTGTTTTGTAACATGGCACAAATAATAGGACCAACCTCTGCCCCGCTTGCTTTTGCAAACTCTTCTTAAAGAATGTGCAGCTTGTCTTGCTAAAACTCCAGTCCTTCTGGATAACAAAGACCCTCATTAAACTTGGCAGACACTGGGAAGCTAAGATGTGCAAATTGAAAGGGTCTGCCATGCTAAATGAGAGTGGGCACGGTCACTTTACACAGTACAAAAACAAATGCTGGACCGCCTCTTCAGAAACTGGGAAGGGACAGAGGAAAAAAGTTCTCATCTAGAGTTTTGCTTGCTTGTTAAACTTCATGCTTCAAACAGCTCCAGTCTTTTAAACCAGTTAAGAAAGGAAGGAATTAGTTTTGCAGAATTTGTACAGGTTTTATGAGGAGGATCTCCTCAAGTTGTTGAGAGACTACAGACAAGTCAGCTTAGCTGAAGCACTTTTAACAGTTTTCAGTGGAAAAATGCTAAGAACTCTTCCATTAAATAAATGTGACTAACAAGTGCTTAATGTGCCTGGATTGTATGCCCCAGCTTCCTTCCTTTCACAAATATATTTAAGGTGGGAACAACTGGAAATAAGGCAACAGTTGAGTGAGTTCTAACTGATGGCAATATTTGGGCTTAAATAGGAGAAAGTTTGCCAGGACTTTGCCAATACCATTGGGAAAAACCACTGTGAAACGCATGTGTCTGAAGTCTTATGCGTTACTATAACCAAGTTGTAAGTTTAAGGTACCTTTTGAGTATAGTTTTGTAGGTTAAACTATGTGAGTGTTTTATAACCCAAAGCAGAATCTAGTAGCATATTAGAGATCAATTATTTTATTGTGATATGAGCTTTGATAAGTAACTGAATTTTAGCCATGTAGGTTATGGGAAAGTTGATGAGTATACGTGCTCATATACCTCTTGCTTATAGGGTTTAGTGAAATAAAATAGCACACAATTTATTTTCTATGATTCAGATTCCCTCATTTGTTCTCTTATCAAATTGGCCTCTCTCAGAGAGAGTATGTCTCCATACCTTCAGCTCATGGCTTCTCTGCTGATGTGAAGGCCACAGTAAACTACTCAACCTTTAATGTGCCATAGAAGAATTCACAGCAGGCCTCTGTGGAGTAAAACTTCAGTTCCGCCCTGTTGCATTTATGTTAATTTCACGCAGGAGGATAAAACCGTAGCAACCTCCAAAGAAATGAGGTCAGCTTTTAAATCTGAGGAGGTTCATCTGTAACTTTAAAAGGCTGCTAGTACGGAAGGCTGATTTTTTTCCCCTCAGGCTGCCCTCTCCAAATAATTCTTTGTGACTCTGGTTTTCAATCCTTGGGATGATCCCCCCCCCCCCCACATACACAAAAAAGTTGCCCACAGATGAATAACAATGGCTACCACTGTAGTATTTCTACTTTCTGTATGTCACACTTTCTGAGGATAGGCAATACTGGCAAAATCCAGTTGCATATGATTTACTAACATGAATTCAAGGTCTTTGTGTTTCGCTGCCTTTTAGTCATCGCAAAAGGAGGAGGCATCAAAGTTAAATGGATACCAATTTTAAAAATAAGTTAATACATGTTGCTGGTCATGGATGTAGCATCACAATAGTGTTTGTATTGTTGGAATTTAATTTTGCTGCACTCAACAGAAAGTACAATGCAAGGTGTCTCTCAAAGTTCTTTCCTCTGATCTTTTGGCTAAAACTTTGCTGAGTCCTGGATTCCTCAAAAATCCCATTTACTTATGCTGGCTTAAGGAGCCTTAATGATTTTTAAAGGTTGTCAGACAGCTTTTGTGTTGCTCCAGAAGGATCTTGGAATACTTTGAACTGCAAAACTAAAGGACTTTAAGAAATTTGTTTCTTAGGACATCACCTGTGCCAGAACATTGTATTTGCAGTGGGGTATAAACAAGTAGTGTGACCCTACAGAACAGGGAAAAAAAATCAAAAGAAAATTACACATGGCAGCCACATGCTCTTTTAGCGATAAAGGAGTTGCCTGATACAGAACTGTGATGATTTATTTATTTCCCATGCTTCAGCTTAAGTTAATATTGCTTCTGATTTGGTGTCTTATGAATAAGATTTTACTTCATTTTCAAAAGCAGGAGCACAGAAGGACTATCCAACCATTTAGGAGTGAGTCCTGTTTCCTTTCTGATCAAGCACCAAAGAAGGTGAAGTGAAGCCCTGTAGGATAGCCTTTCACTCGCCCTTTCTGAACTTTCAGCTCTTTTCCAAAAGATTCAGAGTATTAAGAAAAGGCATAACTTTGGAGGTAGAAAAATGTGTATGCATATAAACAGGGCAAGAAATACCAGTCAATACGAAACAAATATAAACCTAAATAAAAAGTAGTTGTAATTGCTTAAAGCTGCTTGATAATGCCATTAACTAAATGGATTGCTTTAAAGAACAGAAATAAGTTATGTTTAAATCTGATGTTTCCTATGGATGCATGATTGTCCTTCCACTTATAAGAGTCTCCACTAAACTGGGATAAGCTGTACTCCAACTCATGGTGAACCTGAAGCTGGCTTGAAGTGGAACAATTCGGGGTGATTTTTGGGATGGATGGATGGGACATTTGTTCAGGTAAACACCTTGGTATGGGAATACAGGGAAAATGTCATGATTGACGGTTGACTGAAAGATTGCTTTATATACATTGACCAATACATCTTGATTACCAGGATCTATTCTTATGTAGCTATGTGGAGGAAGAACCACAGTATTTCTTGTGAACAACCAACTGATTTTTTTTTCATTCTAATGTATGTTACCTCCATATTAGTCAGTTAACTGGTTTTTACAGGTTTCCATTTCTTTCATCTCCCGTCCATTCCTTTCATATTTTGCTTCCTCACAATAATTTGCTAGCTTTAAGAGCTGTTCTAATCAAACCTCCCTCCCTCATTTATTTGTCCTACCAATTCTTCATTACTTTCAGTAATATTTTGGTTGTTAATTGTTTTGATTTTTTGTAAATAATTGTAAATATTACATTGTAGTGTGAATATCCTTCCATGCTCCTCATACCCCTGATTCGTGTGTGTTAGTATATTAGATAGAATCATCAAAGAGATTGAGCCTAGGTGGAAGCAAAGCAAAGCATTATTGGGGATATTGTAGAACAACAAACAGAGGAGGGCAACAGGTAAAGAGAAAAACCTATTCAACAATGACCAGTGGATCTGTCTTGCAGGAGTAAAATCAACTGTGGGATGGTTATAGTACTTTAAACATGCATACTACAGTGTGTCCATTTTTCATTGGTTTAATGTATATGATTAAAAAATATTTTTATATATACAAAAGCACTCTTGTTCCTATATGATCTTTTAAAATGCTGGCAGGTCACTTCCCTGTCCAAGAACGTCCTGACATGTGTACTCATTTATTACCTTGTTTCCTTGTACTTAATCTGTCCATTTTAGAGATAATGAAGGATTGTTTGTCTCCAAACTCTCCCCTATCTACTTCCTTAGAAGTGAAACTAAAATATCAGAATAGTTTGATAAGATATGATGATAGTCACGGCCATAGTTACAGCAGATGTTGGCTTCACGGAATCTTTCACTGAGGCATGGGTTAGAGATAGAACCAAGATAATCGTTCAGTAAAAGAAATAAAACACGAAGACAAATTACTGCAACAAATGCAACAATAATTCCTGGAATAATTTTTCTTTCCCTTGCTCTTGGGTCATGTATACAAGAGATCATTTATATTTATTTAAATGATTTATATGACTGCCCATGTCAAAATAAAGACTCTGGGAAGCTAACAATGCATAAAAACATAATATAATGTAAAATAAAAAATAAACTAAAAACCTAATAAAATAACAAAGTAAAAAAAAGACTAAAAACCTAATAAACTCACATGAACAATACAATGGTAGTCTTTTTACACTAACTAAAAAGAAAGTAGCTAACCCTACATGTAAGGCTCAACAGATATCCTGGCCTTATTCCCAAGACCTCTCCAGTTTCCTTGGGCAATATGTCTACCACTACCAGGATACAGATCATGGCTTTACAAAGATCTAACAGGCCTTCCATTCTTTGCATTAATGGTCCTTATCTCTCATCAGGTTTTTTGGGTTAGAGAATGACCTGTTTATATCTAATAGGTGTAGAAAGTTTTTGGAGCAGTCAGTTGTGTGGCTCAAGGGCAGCAATGTAACAGTGACCAGATCTACCAGAAGGAAGAGCCTTATATCTTCAAATGCCAAATAGTTTCTACTAAGGCCACACCTCCCTCTAGGGCAGGCACAATTTGGTGCACATGGGTTATCCTATGAGGTATAATATCCATCCAAAGGGAAAGACTAATGAATAAAAGGTCCAGGAAAAACAAAAATGACCATCCTTGTTCTCAGATAATTGGAGGAGGAGGAGGAGGAGGAGGCAGATATTTTTGACTTCTGACATCCACATACTGTGTTTCCCTGAAAATAAGACCCAACTGGAAAATTAGCCCTAGCATGATTTTTTACAATGCTCGTAATGTAAGCCCTACTCCAAAAATAAGCCCCAATTAAGATTGTCAGCCAGATGGACATATTTAGTACCGTATTTCTCTGAAAATAAGACCTAACCAGAAAATAAACCCTAATGCATCTTTTGGAGCAAAAATTAATATAAGATCCAGACTTATTTTCAGGAAAACACGGTAGATTTTTTTCCATGATGATCCATCCCTAACTTGGGTCTTTTAGTGGTGCACTCATCATCACTATAACTGAGTCTATCAACCTTGCTGCTGGTCATCCTCTTCCCTTTCA